TCTTCAGCCTTACTCAAGACAATGTTATAAGTGGTATTCCAAAGAAATCTGTTGATAACAAAGATGAGAGGAATAGCTTATGCATTAGGCTGCTAGAACCAGGACTCAAAGAATGGAACAATGTGCTAATAATGTGGAATTTATAGGAATAAGAAAATACCTCACTATTGGGCCCTAAAAGCAATTGAACAAGTTCAGGATGTTTGCAACATGGCCTGTTCAAATGGAATCAGGATGAGGGAAATAATAAAATGTATTTGGTAAAAGACCTTGTTATGAACAGATCAGCAGTTGGTTTCTAGGATGTTTCTGGAAGCTCTTAATCAGTAGATATTAGGCCAAGGACAGGAGGATGAGGGTGGGAAGAAACTGAGGTGGGGAATGAGGTTAGAGAGTGCAATAAAAGACTTCCCAAAATGCAATATAATAGGTCTCAGATTGCATTAAAAGAAGTATTATGTCCAGAAGGAAGGAGGGCATGGTCCTGCTCTATACTGCAAGTTAGGCCTCACCTGGGAATACTGGAGGCAGTTCTAGGTCACTACCTGTTACAGAAACCTTAGCCAATTAGACTACATACAGAAGACAGTATCTAAGATTGGAGGGTCTTGAAATCATATCATATCCCTGCTCTCTACCCTGCAGAATGTGGCCCTAGTAAGCCACATGATCCTGTCAAACCTCTCAGATGTCAATGTCTCTCCTTTCTATCTCTACTTCAGCCACACTGATTTCCTTGATATTAAACACCAAGCATATCAATCGCAAGGCCTTTGCTGTCCCCTTCCTTGCACATTCACAAGGCTCATTCCCTCAATTTGGTCAGGTCTTTGCTGAAATGTCACCTGTAGATTGGGTACCCCCTTTATCTCTGTAGGGGCAGGATGATCACAGGGCTGGTTCTTTACAATTCAAGCAGACCTGGGTAAAGGAGAGTCCTGGAGCCCTCGGTGGCTTTCTCAGGCTTTTACATATAGCACAGGTACACGGTAGGCAGGGGTGCCAGGGGACTAGGAGGCCAGTGGGCCTCCAAGCCCCCAGCAAGTCTTCACTCTTGGCTTCTCTGGCCTTCTTTCTCCCCTTCTTGCTCTCTCCTGCCTCTCTCCTGTTTCTGCTTCTCTTCCCAAATATCTCCAATACTGAGCCATGGCCCACGGAAGTAAACAAGACAGCTTACAACAATGTAACAACTGCAGGTGCCCCATTAGGCAGGGCAATCCTAATGGTGGGAGGACAGAAAAGCCTGAAAACCGTTTACCCTATCTGAGAAAGAAGCAAGCCAATTTTTCAATCTATACTTCACTTTTCTGTATTGTATTTATTATCTGATATTCTATTAAAAAGTTGCTTGTTTAACTGTTTGTCTTCCTCAGTAGAGTATCAGTCTCAGGAAGAGTGGGGTTCCATTTGGTTTCGTCTTCCATCCTGATATAATTTAGGTACTTAATTAGTTTTAATGATTCAGTGAATAAAATAAAAATGGTTGTACTGCAAATCAACAAAGAAAGTCTCTTAGTCACACCCAATAGCTTAGGAGCTAATTTTGGAAGAAGCTGCATGGCCCAGCTAGGAGTGGATGCTTGAGGAGAGGGGATTTGGGGACTCTCAGGCCCTGTGTGAAGAAATATTTCTGAGTTGGAAAGGGTGGGACACTTGGAATCTCCCTGCCAATGTTTTCTCAGATGTGAGAAAGCTACTTGTCAGGAATATTGTTTGGAACCTAAATTAGATAATACATAGGAGTTTTTTTTTATCCCGCAATTTTTTGAGATTGCCACAGATCAGGTCACGTGTGTGTGCACGTGTATGTGTGTGAGAGAGAAAACACTTTTGATTTGGCCTACTGAAATAGTTTTTCTATGTGAACACGTTTTCAATGTTTTGAATGTGGTAATGGGATTCAATTTATAGAAGTGATGCCCATTTTCTGAAACATGGTTTGGAATATGTAAGATGTAGAGGAGGAAGATTTGATTTCATGGGAGATCCTGAGGCATCCTATAAATGATCAAAATGTACCTAATTTTTCTTATTTACATGTCCTGTGTGCTCACCACACTTATATATAATCATAAATGTTGCTTTCTGAGTTCTTTCTAGATAGGACATGGAATCTGTCTCAAGGAGAATGATTTTGGCACTGAACAGTCAAGAAAGGAAATGAATTGCCCCATTGTAACTACCAGGGCAATTTAGGTAGTCAGGAATTATCCTGGTATGGACAGACAAATGAATAAACAAGACTGCTATGCTTTTCAATGAGGCAAAGGTTTTCTTTTTGGAAAATAACACTGAATGTTGAGCTCAGGGTACACTGCCCCCAAATGTCTGGGTATTTTTTAGAAATTAAAACTAATAAGAACAAAAAATTACAGGACTTGTAGAGGACGCTGTGTTTCTCACTAGGAGGAAAAGGCAAAAATATCAGTGTGGAGGGATTCCAGGAGCCTTCTAGCTCCTATCTCCAGCTCTAACATACTCCCACAGTTTTGAAGCTGGCCAAGAGCAGAGATATGGCCTGAAAATGTGTCATGGGAATTTGTGACTCTCCCTCTGGCTATGTGATGAGGTTTCTGCTGTCCGTAAACATTGGAAGTTGGACCCACATAACTAGTGTTCTGCTAACCTAATAAAGTAGAAAAGTCTTCCCTGGGATTCTGAAATTTTAGCGGTTATTTCAAAAGACAGTCAAAAAAGCCCAACCATAACTCCAACACATTAAAGAATAACAAAAATTGAGCTACATAACAGTAATAGAGTGAAAGTTGGGCCTCCCTGGTGTTGCAGGGGTTAAAGTCTCAGGGCTATCAAGCTCTCACCAGAGTTAGATCTTAGGCCAGGGAGCTAACCCTCATGGCTCAGCAGACCCCTCCTGTCTCATCTGCTGCTCCCCTTGGTGTTATTTCAGTAGATCTGCCTGTTTTCCCCACTCTGTCTCTGGTGAATCCTCTCTCTCTCTCTCTCTCACACACACACCACCCCCGCGGCCCCAACCCCACCCCCGCACCTTTGGCTTACACCCCGGTTCTTGTATGCATAAATAAAAAAAAATAAATCTTTAAAAAAAAGTTCTCTCTTTACTAACACCAGCCAGATTCTATAGACAGTTTCATGAGAAAGGAAGGAAGGTCTGTGGATTGGTGACACTAGTTCTTAGGAACTTCCCAGAAAATGAATTTCTAGGTAAATGAGATCTGTGAAGCCAGAGCAGACCCCAAATCAGAAATTGTGATGCTTCTCTTACTTCCTCAGGGGACAGAGGACAAGCATTCTTCCCGGGCACCAGACGATGCTTTTCCTATGGGAATCCACATTGGTTGGTTTGGCCTTTGGTGGAAAGGCAGGGCCTCTCTCCTGTTTCTTCTTGTGCCCTACAGAGTAAATCAGGGCAATCAAGTCAAATACCCACCCAGTTCCAAACCACTGCAATTGCTTGTTTATGCTTTACTAGCCTACAGTCACCCCCAAGTTCCCTAAGGACAGCGAGAGGGGCACATCTTGTTACCATTGTATCCTAAAACAGAGAACTGCCCTAATGCCAAAGTCCGTTCTCAGTAAAGGTTTTTTGTAATTATTAAATGAGGTTAAAAGGTCGAAAGAAACACAAGCCTGCATTAACTCTCTTCTAACCAAAGCACAGATTACTTTTGCATGAGTAGTTTTCCTCTTCCATGGTCTGTGTGTTGGAGAAACAGGCACTGGAAGTGCATCATATTGATACCTGGATTGCAGGTTTTCAGGCCTAGTCTCCCAGCCAAGAACGGATCCCAGGGGCCGTGCTGAGGCCCAGCCACTAGACCCCCACAGGGCTGGTGTCTCACGTAGCTGCAGCAGGAGTTTCCCAGACGCTCAGGCAAGCAAGCCAGGAGAGGCAGATTTGTTTAGCGAAAGAAAAAGTTTATCGAGGAAAAAAGGAAAAGAAATAAAATGGGACTCCCAGGCCACGGAGGGGCAAGGAAACCCAAGTGGAGCCTCAGGGAATTTATATCATTTTTGCCTAATTATTCTAAAGCTCCACCAGTCTTTCTGTGATGTTAGTTCTCGGTGGTCTCACTCACTGCCTAAATGTCTCTGCCCAGAACTTATCTGTGCCCCAGCCCTTATCTTTCTTCTTTATTGTCCTCAATTTGGAATGCTCTGTTGACCTTAGTCCTGGGGTGTTCCATTAGTCCCTTTGGAATTTGCAGCCCTTCTCTCTGGAGCCTTCCTTAACTCTCCTGAAGTCCCTGCACTGTCCTTGAGGCTGCCTAATTATCCCTAACCTGCCCTAGGATTCAATGTCTCCTGAAATCACTTCTTCGATGGTCTGGGTGAGGGCAGGGTCTGAGGCCAGCTCTCCACCTAATGGCCTTTCCAGCCCTGGCACCCCACAGACGATCATAAACATTAGTTAAAGAAGAAAGTGAGCTCCACCAGCCTGCCCTGCGCCTACCCTGCCTGTTATCAGTACCCCATAAATGGGTCTCTTTCAAAACAACATGTCAGCACACCAGTTTCCCGAAAGAGAAAAGGCGTGAGGGCGGCAAGCCCCCTCCTCACCGCTTTCTGAGACGGTGAAGAGCAAGACGGGGAAACGAGCCCAACTTTCCCAGGGCCGCACTGACCCAGGGCCTTGGGTTTCAGACGTGACAAAGCGCTCCCGGCCGCACTCGCCGAGCCATGAAAGCTCCAGAAACAAGAGCCGGCAGGTTTGGAAGCCAGGATGGCACTTCCTCCCCCACGTGACCAGGGAGCGCCTCTCGCTCCCGCCGGATCCCGCGCAACTACCCAGCGCTCGGGAGCCGAGGCCAGGAAGCACCGTGACGCGGGCGGCCGGGGTGCGCTGGGGGTGGGGGAGCCGCGGCTCCCCGCCCACCCGGCCTGCCCACCCCTCCTCCCGGGGCCTCCATTTGGTGCCCTCACAATAGGCGCCGAAGCCAGGACGGAGACACCTGCCGGTGGGCAGCGGAACTGCAGGGCGCCGCCGGCCCCTGCTGCACGCAGGCGAGGCCCGGCAAGGCCCGGAGGCCGCGCCGCTGAGGGTGCTTCGCGGGCACGGAACGGACTTCTGTAGCAAGCCAGTTCTTGATCCGACTTTAAAGGCCAAAACGTAATCGCGTCTCTGGATATTCTTTGAGGGATTTTGAAACAGACATATGTTTACCTATAGGGGAGCCCAAATGTACCCCTTGCCTTGGCTCCTCTCCACATCGACATCTTCAGTCAGCACGGCCTGCACACCTATTACTGCTTTCCCTCCGTAATCAGCTGATCCTTGAAAGAGAGGGCAGAGCCTCATTAGATTTGTTTTGACTTAACTGCTTCAGGCAGTGCCCCTAACCATTTGCTTGCACGTGTGTGCGCGCGCGCCTGTGCATGAACGTGCGCTTATTTAGGAGTGTGTGCAAGGTGGAAACTGGATTTTGAGAAATCGCAATGAAAGAAGTAAGCACAGTGTAGTGAGAACAGAACAACTTAGTACGAAGCTGGCACCTTGGGAGCACAGGCTAGTAGGAGAGGCAGGACTAACCTGGAAATTGTAGACATCAACTTTCATGGCCACCAAATACCAGAAGAAAGAACTCCATGAAGGCTGGAGAAGAAAAAAGTTCTCTTGGGGCTGCTGGCCTGGACTCAAGCCCTTGGAGGTAAGGGAATGGACAGGGCATTCTGTACCCGCGAAATAGCAACCTGGGTGAGATGCTGCTGGCTAGGCCGGTGTGTAGAACAGTGTTGCTCTTCTACGCCCAGGAATGCAGATTGGAATTTGCCAATGCAATGACTGGAGCAGTGGTTTTCAAACTAACCTCAGACTTACCTGGAAACTTGTTAGAAATGCAAACTTGGGGTCTCTACTCTAGACTGGCTCATAGTCTGTTGTGTGGTCCTAATAGAGTAATAGTCTTCCACAAGGTGGTTGTCTCAAGTTTGAGGACCCCTGGGTTAGCAGATGGAGGAAAGAAGAGTCAGCTGGGTGGCATACCAGGTGCAGGGCTGTGAAATCAGAACTTAGTGCATGTAAATGGGGTGACATAAGGGCATACCACTGACAGGTATAAGATGTGGGGAAGAGGATTCAGTTTGTGAGGGAGAGAGAGCTAAAATATCATTTTGGTCCTGTTGAGTTTAGTGTGCCTTAGTATCCACATAGATATTCCTGAGGGCAGCTCTGGAGACAGAGCCTGAAACAGGTGGGAAAGCAGAGATGGGGTCATCTGTAGGATGGGAAAGTTGACATGAAAGGAGTGGGTTGTTCACTGAAGAAATAGGTATGAACACATAAATAGACAGGAGAGGGAAGACAAGAAGCCCAGAGGCATAAAGGGAAGAAGTGGTCAAAAAGGAAGAAAGAATACCCAGTCAGCAGGTGCCTGTGAGGCAGAAAAAGGAGAGGTTCTGTAAAGAATTGGAGGGAGGGAGAAGTCCTCAGACATTGGCTGGCCTTGGGCAGTGTTTTCAAACCCATTAAAAGGTTGTGAGGCAATGAGGTTGTGAAACTAGCTTTTAAAATAATAATAGAAAATGTCTGCTCCTATATAGCAAAGATACAGTTTCATGAAACTTCTATTTAAGATACATATTTTGGGGTGACACAACACTCTTTCTGTGACATTCTTGCCAAAGATGTATAACTTCAGTGGAATCATGAAAAGCACCAGGTCAGCTGAAAGGGAGGGCGATTTAGTAAATACTCAAGTCACTTCTGTGTCATAAATCAAGAAAAGTCAGGAACTGTCACAGGCTCAGGAGATAAGCCCAAATAACTACTAAATGTCCTACCCAAGGTCCTGAGTAGGGCCTTGGAACAGAAAAGGACATTAGTGAAATGCTGATATCTTTAGTTTGGTTAGTAGTATTGCATCGATGTTAAGTTCCCGGTTTTGACAATTGCACTATGGTTGTTAAGAGATGTTAACACTGGGGGCAGCTGGAGGCGGGGGTCTTGGTCCAATTGGGCTTCTATAAAAAATACCTCAGACTGGGTGACTTGCAAACAACAGAATTTTATTTCTCATTATTCTCAAAGTCTGAGATCATGGCTCAGCAGTTTCAGTATCTGGTGAGGTTGCTTCCCGGTTCACAGATGGCACCTTGCTGTGTCCTCACATGGCTGAAGGGGTGAGGGGGCTTTCTGTGGCCTCTTTTATAAGAGCACTAACTCCTTTTATGAGGGCACCACTCTTATGACCTAATAACCTCTAAGACCAGACCATCTAACACCATCACATTGGGTGTGAGGATTTCAACATATGACCTTGGAGAGGACACAAATATTCAGACCATAGCAAGGGATGTATGGAAATGCTCTGCACTGCTTTTACACTTTTTCTGGAGGTCTAAAATTTGTTCAAAATAAGGAGTTTAAAAAAATTAAAAATGCATGTTTGTGTGTTTCCATATATATTCCTTATGATAAGTTGTGGTGAAAAAAAGTTTGAAAGCCATCTGTAGTGTGGAGGGCATGTGGAGTTGCTGGTCTCAACCGGGCAATGAGGCTTCTGGAGCTGAGGTCCCAGGAAATTTTGTGGGTGCCATGGGGGGAGTGAGAAGCTGCAAGTAATAGGTTATGATCAGAGAGGGGATGGGGTCATCACTGTTCCTTCAGGTGATTAGATACAGGCCTCTGTTCAGCTGTCAGGCAGAGGCAAGGACCTCTGCCTGCCCTGGAAGTCTGAGAGGCAGATGGACACAGGGAATGCAGAAGCTGGCACAGCGCCTTCCTGTTATAACCTATAACTGTCACTTTGGGGAAAGTTATGTGCCAGAAGAGATTATTTTTTGGGGGAGAGCAGCATTTAATACTACAGAGTTGTGTTACTTCTTTGGTGTGGGGGTGGGGAGGATAGGATGGCAGGTAGGGGGACCTAATTTCAGTCCTTAGCCATAATTGAAGTTTCTCTAAATCCTAAAATCTCTAGGCAGTAAGTGTCCCTCTTTCATGAGGAATCTTTCAAGTTTCTGGCAATTCAGTAGTTTCTAACCTGCCTTGAAAATATGTGAAAGCAGTGATTTTTCAGTTGAGGACAATTTTGCCCCCAGAAGACATCTGTCAATGTCTGGAGACATTTCCAGTTTTCATAACTGTGCACACACATGTTACTTATTGGCATGTGGTGGGTAGTGACATCTACAAGACAGCACTCCACCTCATAACAAAAAGTTACGCAGCTCACAATATCAATAGTGCTGAGGCTGAGAAACCCGGTTACAGGAGATGAAAATCTGAGGCCTGTTTATGGTCAGGAAAGTTGCCTGGGTGCTTTTAACAAAGGATAGGTATTAAACTTCATTTCTTGGCTTGATTTCAAGTGGTTAATTATAACCTGCCTACCTAAAATTTACACTTTAATTTTCAATGGGTATCTTCCTTCAGTTCATGCTTAAACAGGCTTAGTGTGTGGCTGTGTTCTTGACAACAGGACAATATATTCTATCTGAATCAATATATTCTATACCTGTATGAAGTGACTGGAAATATTTGGGGGATAAAAAGCACCAAAACAGGGCCTCCCCTGGTGGTGCAGGTGATTGAGTGCCGCGCTGTGAAGCTGTCTGCAGCCTCTGCAGCGCCGGTTCAATCCTGGCCGGCCAGTGAGGGTCCCACATGGCGCGGCAGACCTCTCCTGTCGCGCCCACTGCTCCCCTTAGTAGTGTATTTCGTCAGTCTGCCTGTTCTGTTTCCTGCTCTGTCTCTGGTGGATCCTCTCACCCTCCCACACATCTGGTCTGTACCCTGGTTCTTGTATAAATAAATCAATAAATCTTAAAAAAAAAAAAAAGCACCAAAACAAGAAACCTGGGACATTACCATCATTAACAATTATTAGCTAATAATTATTAGCACTCATATCACCACACTCAGGATTCTCGGGGGTTCCCATTAGTACGAAGGTCAAAATCAGATTCCTGACCTTCAGTCTAACCAGACACAGCCCAGAATTAATATGTCAGCCGTTAAAAGCTGAGAGCTCTTACCCTGCCCTGCCTGGCTGCCTGCTGCCTGCTGCCTGCTGCCAGTGTTTGGGAGAGGCTGGGCATTGGCAACATCAGCTTCAAAGCAAATCTTCAATCTTCTATTTGTACTAGCTGTTCCCATATTTAGAACAGAACGGCACATACTTGTCTATTGCTTCAAGGCAAGAGCAAATTCTGAAGGTATTAAATAGAGTCTTACTTCAAGCAAACAAGAGAGCCAGGAAAAGTTAAGGGCAAGACTTTGCCTCTCCCTTTCCTTATATTTTAACAATTATAATAATTTGGAGTGACAAAATATAAAATTAGAAGTCAAACTGCAAACTGTTTGATAACCCAAATTTAGAAGCCTTTTTAGAAGCCACACAGATTAGTTTGTGAAAGGTGATTTGACTTTTTTTTTTTAAACAGTATTTTAATGTTAAACAAGCCTGGGCAGTTATGGGCAGGTCTAAAAGGAACAGGCTCAGTTTTCTTTTTTTGCCTTGGTAAGGGTTTTTTTTTTCCCTTCCATTTTTAAAAGTTGTGTTCATTTTCCCTAGGATTTCTGACTTTATTTTATTTATTTATTTTAAAGATTTATTTATTTATTTATTTATGCAAGCACTGGGTACAGTCAGAAGTGGGGGAGGGTGAGAGAATTCACCAGAGCCACAGCAGGGAGCAGAGCAGGCAGAAGGACCGAAGTACACTGCTGAGGGGAGCAGCGGGCGGCAGGAGAGGTCTGCGTGCCATGTGGGACCCTCCTCCGGTGGCCGGGGAGCAGCCAGGGATTGAACCAGCGCTGCAGAGGCTGCGGGCAGCTTCGCAACCCAGCGCTCAACCGCTGCGCCACCGGGGAGGCCCAAATTTCTGACTTTAGAAAGATGTTATCAATTTTATTCTCAGTAACCTGGAATTTCAGTATAGTGACTTTTGGGATTTTTGAAGGGCAATTAATATGTTTCTTTTCTGCTTGACATGTCTTTATTTGAGAAAGTTTGAAATGGAGACTCTCCTGGTGTGATTCTTCCTTAAATATCCCTATTATTTCATAATCCAAGTGCTGCCTTTCATGTATGGAAGAGATGCCCTGACTTTAATTTGTTTTTTTTACTACCTGATCCACCTACACCCTCTTATCTAAGTATTTAAAAACATAACTTTTATGTTTTTACCTCTAGTTGAGGTGAGAGGCAGGAATTTTAAGCACAGGACAATCTGACTTGGCGTAGCAAACCCTGTGTCTTGGACAGAACTGGAGACCCTGGCTCCTGATGGGAATAATCACAACCAGAAGTGTTACAAAGTATGTACTATTTAGTATTTGAGTCCCAAGTTTTCTGGTGAAATGACTTATATAAGAGTTGCTGTAAGTTTTTAAGGTGCTGCTTGTCTCCATTTCACATAGGAGGAGACTGAGGCTCAGAGAGGAAACCTTCCCCAAGGTCATGGAACAGAAAGATTTCCTCGTGGGCTTCCCTGCTGGCACAGGGGGTTGAGCGCAGCACTGTGAAGCTGTCCGCAGCCTCTGCAGTGCCAGTTCAATCCCCGCCAGCCGTGGAGATACCTACATGGCGTGGCAGGCCTCTCCTGTCTCTCCTGCTGCTCCCCTCAGCAGTGTATTTCAGTCAGTCTGCCTTTACTCTCTCTGGTGAATCCTCTCACCCTCCTGTGCATCTGGCTTGTACCCCAG